TCAACTTTGATCGTCATTAAGGCAACACCTTCGCTCGGATTATTATTTAGCAGCCACAATTGTGCGCGTTTTCCTGTCATCGGAATTTATTTGCATTTAAACATTTATTTGGGCCAAAAATCCCCCATCTTTTGGTAAAAACGTATCCTGCATCCTTCATCTCCAGGATCTGTGTTTAAGTGTTCGTTGCCGGTGTTCTGGATGTGTCGCTCGGCTGCAGCGGTGCTCGCGGCGCTGACCGCTCTGCTGTGCGCGGCTCGGCAGTGCGCGGCGGCGGGGCGGAACCAGCCGCTGAACTACCGGCCCATCATCGGTAAGATCCAGACCCAGGACCGGCTTCTGTGTCAGTCCCTCCGCCTGCAGACACGGGCTGGGGGATTATTATAGCTCTGATGTCGTTTTATTCTGGAATGTTCGAGAAAAGGTGCGTGTGTGTTGGCAGTGGCACAGAGAGGGAGAGAGAGAGAGAGCATGTGTCTGCGTGCGTGGTACTATAATGTAATCATATTTGTATTGTATGTATGTTTTTTGAGGCGATACTTCATAAACATCTAATCCGTTAACCAAATAAACGTTAATTACCGATGCCCTCAACGTTTTGTAGTCGGCATATTATTGGTTAATATCGCCATTCAATAAAATAAATCCGATGCCCTTATTAACTCCTGCGCTCACTCAAGTGTCACCATTGACATACACTATTTGTACAACTGTTTATTGTCCCCATATCCTCATATGTATATATGTGTTCAGTATACAGTATTTATTATACTTAGAAGTAATTATTTATACATTTTGTCTTATTCTATTTTATATCAGCAGAGGTGAAAAAAGTACCCAGATTGCTTACTCAAGTAAAAGTAGCAATACTACAGTGTCAAAATACTCAGTTAAAGGTAAACATCCTGCATTCAAAATGGTAGTTGTGTAAAAGTACAAGCGTATAAGCATGAATTAATTTATATATTGCTGGGTAACTCTAAATCAGCAAAATAACAACATTTGTAGAATAATGTAGTGGAGTAAAAAGCACCACATTTGCTTACAAAATGTTGTGGCGTAAAGGTAAAAAGTAACATAAAATGAAAATATTCACTAAAGTACAAGTACCCACATTTTTTACTTAGTATCAGGAGTGGTGAAATGTACTTGAGTAAATGTACTTAAGTACATTTCACCACTATAAGTACTTTTTTCTTATTTGAACAATGTGTCTTTTGCACTATTTTACGTCTCTAACTTGAATGATAAGTATGTAGTGATCACTGATGCATACACTGGGGTTACATAATCCAATCATGGAACTACAGGTTGGGGGTATTGTTTCCGCCCGGACACATATGTTGACGGTACCTCCGGGGTACCTACTGTGTGTCCTCCTCTTTCACTTTCTCTTCTCCTCTTTCCTGCAACCCGACAGCACGTCGATTTCTGCTCTCCAATAAAGAGAGATTTGCAACTCTGATACACCGCCTCCGTCTCCCTTCTCTCGGCACTACATTGGTGACCCCGACGTGATAATAGCGAAGGATCCGAGGCTGAATCGAACGCGGCAAAAAGCGCAGCTTTTCTCGGAATGCCGGAGATTCTTGGAGACGTCCGTTGCTGCCTCGTGCGCACGGACTGAGGCTCGGTGCGCCCCACGGAATGGCTGGGAACGTCGCTCCCCATTCCCGCTTCGTCTCGGCGCTGGAGGGCAGCAAGCCTTCCTGCTACGAGGGGACAGTGCGCGACCTGCTAGGTATGGAGGGACCCGACTTCTGCCTCGTGGAGCTGGTTCTTCGGGACATGCGGCTGCGTGTCCGGGCTGCGCTAGCTCACTCGGCTAGTGTTGAGCACCGCGCTTTGGCCGACGATGCTGGCCGGTTCCTCCTGGCCGCCCGGCGATTTACCCCTGAGGTGCTTGCCACTGCACGCTGCAGCGCCTTCCCTGGTGGGGGCACGCCGCCTAGCAGAGGCTCCGGGGCCGACGACGACGACAGCGACTACCGGCCGTCGAGAGCGGCTAGCCTCAACTGCTAACGACAGCTAGCCACGACAGCTAGCCACGACAGCTAACGGCTAGCTGCTACCAACAGCTAGCGACGACTACTAGCAACGGCTGACGATGACTAGCAGCTGCCAGCGGCTATTGACATCCGACTGTTTTTTTTATTTTTGTTTTGTTTTTTGTGGTGCCGGAGAGGAGGTTCGATCACGTCTGGTCGGCCTCGTGTGGATCCTCTCACGATTTCGCCCACCTGTTTTTGATCGTGGACAGGATGACCTTTTTGAGTTTTTTTCTGGTGCCTGAGAGGAGGTTCGGCCATGTCTGGTTGGCCTCGTGTGGACCCTCTCGCTTTGTCACCACCTCGACGGCGGTTTCGGACGTCACACGCGCCTGCTTCGGCCCGTGGGTGACGCGCTTCTGGACCCCGTCTCGCCTCTTCCCTCGCCTCGGCGGTTCCGGACGTCGCCCATGCCTTCATCGGCCTGTGGGTGGCGCGCTTCGGGACCCTGCCTGGCCTCACCTCTGACCGCGGCTCACGGTTCGCCTCGACGGCGCCCCGTCTGGCCTCTCCCCTGTCCGCGGCTCCTTCCTCCCGAGGACTTCGTGCCCGCCGCCGCTGTGCCTTCGCCTGCGGCCGGGCAGCGCTCCTCCCGGCTGGGGACCACCGGGTTTTTCACGCCCGTCCCCTGGTCTCGACACAGCGACCCTGCTTTCTGCGGCCCCCTGACGACGGCCCGTTCCGGCCCGCCCTCCGGTGGGGTTGCCCTCGCCTTCGTTGGGGCCCCTACCCTCTCCTGCGGCCCCCTTCCGACGGCCCGTTCCGACGGCCCGCCCTCCTCGGCCCGCCCTCCTCGGCCCGCCCTCCTCGGCCCCTGTGGTGCTTCCTCCCGTCGCGAGGATTGTGTCCATGGTTGAATTCTGGGGGGGCTTGTGTAGTGATCACTGATGCATACACTGGGGTTACATAATCCAATCATGGAACTACAGGTTGGGGGTATTGTTTCCGCCCGGACACATATGTTGACGGTACCTCCGGGGTACCTACTGTGTGTCCTCCTCTTTCACTTTCTCTTCTCCTCTTTCCTGCAACCCGACAGCACGTCGATTTCTGCTCTCCAATAAAGAGAGATTTGCAACTCTGATACACCGCCTCCGTCTCCCTTCTCTCGGCACTACAAGTATATAATATGTAAGAAATGATATGTTACTTAGCAGTAATGGATTTATTTGCAACACTTTTAACTAAAGAGGTAACTTATCACCTAAACCAGGGGTGGGGAACATTTTTCCTCTCAAGGGCCATTTCAATTTTTTCAACATCCTCCGAGGGCCGTACAAATGATTGATCTCTGCTTAAAAATACTAAAATCACAGCCCATTCATTTCGCCTTTCTTTCATGTTGTGCAAAGAAAAAGCAACCTCTTAATCCAGATATTTTACCATGACTCGCGCATGCATGCACGTGCACGGTTGTGGCATGACCACCAAAACAGAAAGATATGGACACAAGATGAGTGCAAATGTATTTAGTTTCCTATCCATGTGAACATGATTTAAGTGAGGGGGGGGGGCCTAACCTCCTCTAGGGGGGTCCGGGGGGCATGCTCCCCCGGGAAGATTTGTTTTTAAATGTTGAAGTTAAAAGCATCAATCTGGTGCACTTTGAGAGCAACATTAGGAGATCTATGGATACATCTCTCAACACCCATATGAAACAGACCTGTAAGCAGATTTATTTTTCTTCATGGATATTTTACAAATCACTTCCCTTTCAAACTGTATTCTTGTTTAACAACTTTTTTTTACTGTCATATAGTATTTTATACCTGTTTACTTTATTCTCTTATTTTTTTTATAACTATAATGATCATATAGATACACCCCTGTGAGACATATACCACGTGATGACACGTTAGGCTCGTGTTGTGTTCAAGGACCCTGACCTTGGCCAGGAAAAACAGGCACTCGCTTGTTTAATTATTTTGCGGTCTAGATTTCTTTAATTTTTTTCTTTTTTGCGTGTGTTTATAAATTACCTCGAGGGCCGTCCCAAATGGTTTCGCGGTCCGTATACGGCCCGGAGGCCGGAGGTTCCCCACCCCTGACCTAAACTGATATCAGCGTAATGAAATCTGTGCAGAGGCTGTTTGTTTAACAGAAAATCTGCGGAATGTGTCTTTACTGATAAGATATAAAGAACTATTACAGGACACCATGTTGTTGAAAACAAACCTGTTGTTCTCATTGTGGTTAACACTCTGACAAGTCATGACGCCATGACTTATGGTCTCTGTTTGAGTCTAAAGGAGGAATTACAAAGACCTGGCAAGGCCTTCGTCATGCCCAGGGTTTAGGTGTTACCTCATTCAGGTGGCCTGTTTGTTTTGTATGGGAGCCTGTTTGTGCCACAGAAAATACAAATAATATCCTTTAAGTCATAATTATGACTTACTATATAATTATTATGACTTGCTTATCTCGTTATTTTGACCTTTTGTGGGTCATGCCTGGGTGATCTGCTGAATCAGGGATTCAGTGGGAAATTTGATATTTTGAGTTGCAGCGTTTGCGTCGGTACAATCTGCAGATTAAAACGGCTAAACAGTTTCAAGTTGAATGCTGCTTAAAGAGGACATATTATGCTCATTTTCAGGTTCATATCTGTATGTTGTGCCTCTAGTCTACTGTGACATGTCTCCATGCTCTAACGTTAATAATAATAATTAATGACATTTTTATTAGAGCTCCTTTCCAGGTGCTCAAAGCGCTTTATATTACATATCACACATATTAGACATGGAACAGTTATTACTGTGGACAATACCCACAGCTAGGCCTGTCGCGATAATCAATAAATGGACTTATCGTACGATAAATAAAAATGGACTCGATAACTTTTCTGAGCTCGATAAATTGCCGTTTACATGCGTGTTTGTTTACATAAGGATGTGACCAGAATTTTAGCCCGGCGCGCTGTGAGGGGCGGGGCTCACACACAGCCAAGTCAGGAAACTCCGCGTGCAACAGTGTAGCAGCCACATTAATAATATAGAGACAAGCAGGAGACAACGTGTGACTTACTCGAGGGGAATTTGAAGTTAAATGGAATTGGTTGCAAAACCTAATTCCACATCTCGGTGTGGGAATATTTTGGATTGCCAAATCAACGAGGCGAACCTACGGACTTGAATGAGCTGGGCGGTGTGTCGCATTTGTTTTAAAAAGGTAGCAACAAAAGCTAGCAATACGACCAACCTTAAACTGCATCTGAAACACAACCACCCCATTCCGTTTTCCCAGCTGGTAGCAAACACGGCAGCTGGAGATGGAGAACCCCCACCTTCCCAGTTTACAATCAAAGATGCATTTGCCTGACAATGCAAACATGTTGGTGTTCCTTGCTCGAAATCTTTGAAATACAGTTTTGGATATGGCCTATTGAGGCATCTGGGTCTTTGTATGGACAGTGGACTGTACACTTGACTGCTATTTTAAGGAGGGTTTTTTTGCTTGTGAGACAATGTGTGCTCATATTTATTTATTTATTTATTTATATATATATATATATATATATATATATATATATATATATATATATATAGATAGATAGATAGATAGATAGATAGATAGATAGATATAGATATAGATATAGATATAGATATAGATAGATAGATAGATAGATATATATATATATATATATATATATATATATATATATATATATAGATAGAGAGAGAGAGCTCTGTTTTCCATCCTGAGTCTATTTAATTGATTGTTTTGTTTGTGTGTGATTTAATACATTTTTTATAATTTAATTTGTTTTATTTATTATATATAATTTATATATTTGAATATTATTTCACATTTCATTTGCAATGTTGGATGTTCAATAAAAAGTTCTGTTTGAGAGGATGTACTTGAATTATTATTATATATTATCATTATGTCAGTGGTCTAAAATGGTCTTACAACGGTGCCGACAATATTATCGTTTATCGCAATAATTTCCGGGAAAATGTATCGTCCAACAAAATTAATAATCGTGACAGGCCTACCCACAGCAGCAAATTAGGGTGACGTGTCTTGCCCCAGGACACAACGGCCTGACACAACGGCCTGACGCAGTGGCGGCCGAGGCGGGTTAGAAAAAAAGTGGTATTGTCTTACTTTCATGTTTTACAAATGCCATTGTTATTGTCTTTAAACATATTTGAGGTAGTGATGGTTGTAACCAATGTCCAGTGGTCTCCAATCAGTGCAATACATGTAGCTTGTTCCACTTCCTCTGCTCTCTTTGCCTTTTTACTGCTTTGCATTTCAAGGTTAAAATCCACGCTGAAATTACAGGAGGACTTTGGGGTCAAACATTGTGTGATGTGATTTGTATACAATTTCTTGACATATTAAGGGGACATGGGGAATTATTTTCAAACTGCCTTTAGTACATTTTGCTTGTAAAGTTTGTAGTGTTTTGTGTTACATGTTAATAATAATGTTTTGTTTAGATATCTTATTCAGGAAAGCAAAAGGAAACTCTCAAGGATTGGCAAATCTCACTTAAATGAACAACAATTGTAGATGATTTCATCTTCAAGAGTGCACCAGTTATTTTTATTTTTATTAACATTAACTTATATTCTCCTGCTCTTTGTTGTTTTTAATCTTTGTAGTTAGGATTTCTCAGCTATGCATTGTCAACCTTTCTATATCTACATAAAATCATGTGATAAGTTTGTGTGTTCTGTCATCCTAAGGTGTGTTGGCTCAGGAAAATGTTCCAGATGACCAGTATGCTCATGGCTTCTCTTACATCGCTGCCTCCTATGTCAAATTCCTGGAAGGAGCCGGGGCTAGGGTTGTACCTGTGAGGTAAAACAGTCTCTTATATATGTTTTGTTAAGGAACCTGTAAGAAGTCCCACGGCTAATTTATGCAGTTGTGTATTGACACACAAACCAGACCTATTATTACCTTTTATTATTTGCACAGATACCTAGGTTACATGATTATGTCATGACCTGCTTCAGGTGAAACAAGTTGTAATCCCTAAGATTTAAGTCCTGGTTCATTTGGATTGACAGCGATTACCGCAGCAAACGCAATTTAATACTCCAGCAAACATTCTTGTTTTGTAGACGCATAATTGCAGCCAGTCTACTCGCATTTCATGCATTCACCTGCATTTCCTGTCGCTGTTTAGCAATACAAGCAACCTCAAGGTTTTTACTGACTCATTCAACTGCATTATGATGTAAACCAGCACCTAATCTTCCCATTGTGTCTGCTTCAATGGGCCGTTTGCTTTGAGAAACAACAAAAAAACGATTTAGGATAGAAAGCTCAGATTGCCAAATAGGTGAGTCCTCAATGAATAAGGAGAAAAGGCTATACATTAAGGTCACATTCACACCAGCCTTGTTAAGTACGGTTGAATGGATGGTTTAACCCCTTGGTGCGGTTCGTTTGATTTGGTGTGAACGCAGTCTGAGGCCATATGCACACGGGAACGTTTGCGTTTATGCACAGTATGCGCTTTCAAAAAAGTCTTCCGTTCACATGCATTCGTTTCATTTAACGTGTCTGTTCAAACGAGACCGCTGGAAACGCTGTAGTACATATGCCGGGACTGTAAGTGGCGCTGTACTTCCACACGAGACTGCTCGAAAGCACTGGACACGCTGTAGTACATATGCCGGGACTGTAAGTGGCGCTGTAACTTCCGCCACAAAATACACCAAAAGCAGCGAAGAAGACCCCGGAGCATGGCCCGGAGCAATGTTGCCATGGCTACCCTTCTGTTTATGCCCCGCGGTGGATTTAGCAACAGTAGTTCATGTAATTCTCCATGTCCACTTGTTGCTGATGGTTGTGGTAGAGGAGCTGTAGATTTTGCACTAACATCTGTAGCATGGTCGAGCTGTAGATGTTGTACTAACATCTGTAGCATGGTCAGTAGCAGTAGCTACTGGCCATGCTACAGCAGTGAGCAGGAGAGGTGGGGCTATCGTTATTTTTTCAGGAAATATTCGTATAGAGGCGATTACACGGACTCGTTTGACCCCCCAGAGAGTTTCGTTTGCAAATCTATCCACCTTGGGACCCGTTATCGTTTGTGGGGTCCGTTTCTATCAGCCTCGTGTAAATAATAGGGCTATACGTCAGAGAAACTATGCAGATACAAGCCGTTTTGTCCTGGTGTAAACGGCACCTGAGACCTCTGAAGTGAACTAAACAACCGGACTCCGCCGCTGCGTCTGTAAAGCCGTTGTGTCCTTGGGCAAGACACTTCACCTGAATTTGCTCCTGTGGGTATTGTCCACAGTACATGACCGTTACATGTCTGATATGTGTGTAATGTGTATCTGTAAAGCGCTTTGAGCTCTGGAAAAGCGCTATAATAAATATAAGGAATTATTATTATTATTATTAAGTGAACTAAACAACCGGACTCTGGTCTGCCTAAAAGAGGTGGTCTCGGGCCGCTTGCTGGTGAACTCTGGGGCGGTTCATCGCTGATATGAACGCAGTCCACACCAAAACACAGGAAGCATAGTATTTCCGCATAATTTCCTTGAATTTCTATCTAGGCTGTGTGTAACGTACAGTAGCCTATAGGGTCATGCTTTCATTCATGCTGAAATCATTCATTCATTCGCAGAGATATAAACAACTATCAACATAAGCTAGGCTATATTTGCTTTTGTGACTGCTTACCTCACTGGTCCCCTGTGTACAGCAAAAAGGCCATGGTACAATCTCATCAGAACCACATGTTGACGGTTAAACATCCCACAGATAGCCCACAATTTAACTTTATATTTTACTCTTGGCGCTCTAGCAGCTTTGTTTTCTGCCAAGAAAGCCAGCGGTTATCAGTGAAGATTTTGGTGTAATACCAAGACACTATGACTATTAATGCTGTGAGTAAGATGTGTATGGCGTCATTTAAAAGGTAGTCTGGAAAATTGCTAAATGAGCATTAATACCTGTTTGCATCTGGTGCGAAACTGTGACAGTGATGTGACTCACAGCAGTTATCAGTCATGCTGCCTGAAGAGTTTTGAAGGGGCGTAGCCTATAGAAGGGGGCAGAACTTCATTATACCAGTAGTTAAAAATGTGGGTTACTTTTTTTTAATAACAAAAATTGGATTTAAATATTTAAGACGAAATTACGAATTGGATTGAAATATGAGACAAAATTACCTAAATGTTTTCACAACACTCAATCTTTTCTCTCTTCTTCCCTGTCATACTTTGACTAGTAAAAGGCAATGGTACTAAATATCCTCTAATGTTGATACTACATTCATGATCTATAATGTTGAAATTATTATTAATAAAGGTACATTTTTCAGTGGTCGCCATACAAAAAATGATGTTTTAATGTGGAGTGGTTAATAATGTATTTGATTGGGTTTAACAATTCTAAAACTTGTTTTGCCTTTTCTGTTCACCAGAATCAATCGCACAGAAGAAGAATATGCACATATATTTAACGCGATAAATGGGTAAGTTAACATCAACTCTTGTTTTCTCATTTGATTTGATAACCTCTCTATTTAACACACTAACTGGCTTTTGATGCTGTAGGCCTAATAACAACTGGTGATAGCATAGCTTGCTAGCTAAAAGATCAACAGGCTAATTGAGCAGATCAAGTCAGTTCTGGCCAATACTGAAACTATTCTTAGCTTATTATACATTAAATGATTGTTGGTGTTGAAATAAGACAATGGCAGAGATGTTGACCTTTTCTGCCCTGCTGAAAAAACCAGCTTAGACCAACAAGGCTGGTCTGGCTGGTCAGACCAGCATAACCAGCTTCACCAGCATGACATCCATGCTGGGCTATGCTGGTTTCTGTGGAGACTAATTTTGCATTAAGGTCTAATACAGCACGTGTCGATTGTTAACGTGGTTAAAGGCTCCAAACCTCAGATTTTAGCTAAAAGATCTACAGGCTGAGCAGGTCACCAAATATTTATACAGACAGAATATGTATGCCCCTTACTTGGACTACTGTTAGCTTATAAGATGTGCAATGTTAGTTGGTGTTAAAACAAGGTAACACTTTTTTTGTTAAAAGCAGCTAATCACTAGACTGCAAGCTAAAGCTGTGTATGCCATCTGCATTTTTCTTTTTTTAAAGGGACACAGACACATTTTTCTGTTCATGGTCTATGGCTTTGACCTGCTTATTTATTCTCTTGTAGTTGTATATTAAAAGCAAGCTTATACGTTACACTCACATTAAGTCATGTTTCTACACAGGTAAAAGCTGTGGACATTTAAATCAACCTAGTGCAAGATTTACAAGCCTGGACCCTAATTTTAAACAACAAATTGTCTTCTCAGGTTGTTGCTTCCGGGAGGAGATGTAGATATTCAGACATCACAGTACAGTCGAGCAGCTAAGATCTTTTACGACTTGGCTCTAAAGGTAAAATATTTTTGACATTGTAACATTTCGATATTTGTCTAGCTCAAACTGTTTCGGTATGAATTTTGCTATATGTATTAGATTTAGACACTTGAATTATAAGTGACATTTTTATTTTCAATCATGTTGAACTGGTTACTTTTCCAGTTTCACTTGATTTTTTACCTGAATTACTTGCGATTGAGACACTTTGATTATAGCTCCTCATTCCTCACTCTCTTGTCCTCTGCAGGCCAATGATGCTGGGGACTACTTCCCTATCTGGGGAACCTGCCAGGGCTTCCAGCAGCTGTCTGTCCTCACTGCCAATAAAAACCTGCTGACCATCACTGATACCAAGGCAGTGGCTCTCCCTCTTACTCTCACACCAGGTAATCTCTCCTTTCACTTGTTCTGCCTGTCTGTGCTCTTTTTGTTCACTCTTCTTCTGCAGCAACTTTTCTTGTCTCTCTTCTCAGATGAGTTGTCTCAGCATCCATTACTTTCATTTTTTAGGTTTTTACATATGCATTGAATAACAGACAATGCCTTATTAAGAGGATTTGTGGCTGTAGGTACAGAGATCATATGCATACGGTCATTTGTATATGCTTCCATGTGCACAGTAATGTCACTCTGCTGTGATCATAACTGTGTAATCTGCAGCAACACTGAAAAGTCACAGTAAAATTCCTCTATACCCAACAGAGAACAATATTTTGCCTAGCCAGCATGTTCTGGGTTTTGCATAAATGTAAAATGTATCAAAAGCTTTGGTGGATAGCAGGATTCACAAGGACACTTGCTGTATTGTTTCATATTGTTCATGTGTAGCTTATACATGGAAATGTGTGTATTATTATCAATCTTAAAGGTGGGGTAGGTAAGTTTGAGAAACCGGCTCGAGATACACTTTTTGTTATATTCCATGGAATGCTCTTAGCATCCCGATAGCAATGAATATCTTAAGTGCTTTGACAAAAAATCCATAAAAAAATGTCATCTGTGGAAGCCGTAGTACTGTAAAAAGTACGACCAATCAGCCCGGCTAAAATAACTGGATGGCCTACCTGCCTGTCAGCCTTCCATCTGTGCACAAACTTATCTCGTGCCCTCATTGGTCATGTGCACGTTCGTGTGTGTTGGAGGAGGGGCTCTGTAAGGAAGTGGCAGATTTTTTCCGGCTGTGTATTTTCAAATTCTAGCGATCTCGAGCCGGTTTCTCCAAAATTACCTACCCCACCTTTAAGCTTAAAAAGCACATGACTTTACAACAGTTCATCACAATATTGTAATATTATTTTTAAATGCATTATTTCATGCAACAAGATGTTACATACTGGGATTTTAAGAATAACTTCTCTTTTGACAACATGAAAGAGGGATCACATTAACTGGAATACTACGACAAAAGTGTCATAGTCATGTGTTTTGAATAACTAAAGGTTCAATTAGGTAGCGGCACAGAAAGCAAAATCCACTTAAGTAAACAGAGTAAACAAAAGATGATAACAATTGTCAAATGCGTGCTTATAAACAGGGGTGCACATAACTTTCTTAGTGAGTTACTCAGATGAGTACCAGGAGACAGCGTTTGGTACTCACCCCACACGAAGCGTGGTGTTAATAAGTGCAGTCTTCCTCACTGTCCTCCTCAGTGTCTCCTTCACTGTCCTCTATTTACGATGATAAAGATGCTGCAGATGCACCTCCCTGTCTCTTTTTAAGCCTCCGATTTGCTTTCTCCAAAACTTGTTGTCAAAACTGTGAAGTCCTTGCATTTCCTGAGGCCAAGTTGAAGGATCAAATACTAAGAAATGATCACATGACTTGAAGTCATATCTGATTTCAGAGGTGGGAAGTTACTAAGTACACTTAGGTACAATTTTGAGATACTTGTACTTTACTTGAGTATTTCTATGTTATGCTACTTTGTACTTCTACTCCACTACAGTTCAGAGGTAAATGGTGTACTTTTACTCCACTACATGTATTTAATACCTTAAAACACTTTACAGATTTGGATTAATAATGTGAAATATAATCAAGTGTTAAATCAGACTTTAGTTCCACCTGGAGTAAATTCACAAGCTACCCTGCAGTATACAAAGTCATTCAAACTAGCTGCACCTTTACCAGCTTTGAGAACACTTTCATGATCAATCATTATAAAACATATCATATATATTATTCTGAAATGGACCAATCTGCACAAGGACTACTTATATTTTGATGATAATACTTTTCTACTTTTACTTGAGTCACATTTTGAATGCAGGACTTGTACTGTAACAGAGTATTCCTACTCAAGATCAGAGTACTTCTTCCACATCTGTCTGATTTCAAACTCTTCCATAACACCCTGAGTAAGTTTGCAGCTGTGTGTTTTGCTCCACCTTTTTGTAAATAAAACTGCAGCAGCTTGACCACAGAACGTGAACGTTGCGATCAGCTGATTTGGCGCAGTTCTCCAGTGTGTGCGCGTGCACAGAATGTGCACAGGGGAGTCTCCCTCCGCAGCCAGTTGGCGGAGTTTTGGTACAATTCTGTTGTACATACTGACGTTAACCCTGTCTGTGCACACGGCGACCAACTCTGTCGTCCAGTGATCTAAGCCTCTGCTAGGGATGCTCCGATCGCCAATTTTGGGGCCGATCGCCGGAATCAGTATCGGCCGATACCGATCGAGTGGGCGGGGCCTAAATGGAAGATTTAAACATCACTTTAAATCTTCCATTTAAAGTGATGTTTAAAACTCAGTTAATGGGGCTCATTCACTGGAGCTTCCACAAACAATCAACTTAATTATTACATTCAAATGATGTACATTATTCAAGTTTACATTCACTTTGGATAATAACACGGGAGAAATGAGCGGAAGCGCTCTCTTTTCCTCTCTCCCTCTCTCTCTCTCCCCCCCCTCTCTCCCTCTCCTGACAGCCCGTCAGTATCTCATGCAGCTCACTGATCCAGTAATGAGTGACCCAACAGTGAAGAATAAATATATTTATAACTAGTTTAGCTTGTTCCAGAGGTAGATAAAATAGCTAAGTGTGTTAGGTCTAACGGCCCGTCCACACAGCGGCGTGCGTTGAAGCTTGGCGGTGGGCGTGTGTGAAGCTTGGGGATTTCTCGCGAGCAACGCGACCAACAACCAATCACATGAATCTCCCGCCCCCGACATACAAAGCAAAAAAGCCCGAAGTAAACTGGATATAAACTCCCCAAACAGGCGAAAACCTACCACTGTCTCTGCCACCTCCCTCCATGCTCTTGTGTGTTTCGCTCCGCTCACCGGTCCGTCACAGCTGCAGGATTTCTGCTTCACACACACGTTGCATACCGCTATTTTACTGTCTTTTTCAGACACCTTAAAATAATGCCAGACCGGTGAAGCCATTTTGGCGAGCTTGTTTTGCCACGCACAGAGAAAAGTGTCATGTATTTTACGTCATGCGATCGGCTCTCGCGATCGGCATGTTTAGAGAGCACCGATCGATCGGTAGAGAGTGAGTATCGGCAGATCTCGATCGGTGACCGATCAATCGGAGCATCCCTAGCCTCTGCCTCCTGTAACGCTTCACAGGTTTGTCGTTTATGGCCTGTGCGGCTCGGCCAGCATCCAGTTCAATCAGTCCAAGAAAGTCCAAAGATTTTTTGCTGATAGCGAAACGCCAAAGTGGCTGCTTAATGTCTTTTGTTTTTTTGGACATGTCTAGTAGTTTACTCCACTGAGTGTTGACAAGAAACACGTGTAGACGAAATATGTGTTTTGTTTTGATGACCTATCAGATACGCAAAGTGGCGTAGTGACACAAGTGACGTTACACATTTCAGATGTTTGCCGCGCATGCGTACCTGTTATGTGCACTCCTGGATACAAACCTTCTTTTGGCAACACAAAAATAATTAGCTGTGATTTAAGGTTTGGGAACAGTTTAGTCCTCGGCTCTCTGGGTAAAGGAAATATGATAACTAACTAATTGCTGTGTCCTCTGAAGCTGGTTTAGACTGCACCTGTGGTTTAGTCTGAGGTTTATCTGAGATTTAACGTGAACCCGCTGCTGACCTCCATTAGGTTTAATGTTGTACATTTTAGCGTTAGAAGGGTACATGTAGTTCAGATAATTTTCAATTATTCTGAAGGCAACAGTATAACAATGTGCAAACAAGGAAGGAGACTGTGAACTGGTGAAGTCGCTCTACGGGTCCTGTTGGACCTGTAGATTACGGGATGTTAAATTACATGGAATAAAGAAAATAATTTCCCCTCAGCGAGTTATCAGGTCATCTTTATGCATTAAAACATTACACATATTATATTTTATTTGACATTTATTGGAATATCTTTATAGAAAATCCTTCAGCAAAACTTCTAACTATTTTTCTTCTCTTTCAACTGTAATTCATACCATTATCAGTCATGGTGTCCAATACATCCTGTTGTTATTTATATAATGCAAATCAGGGGACTCAGTTCATTTCCCTACAATTAGGCTAGTTACACAAAAAGCTTTGACATTTGTACATTATAACTTTGTAGATCATTAGATTAGATTAGATTAGATTAGATTTTGTCACTGCATCAGTATAACAAAATGCACTTGGCATCCAAACAGAAATTGCAAATGCTCGATAAAGGTTGCAGTATATTCATATATCAGGTTACAGTATCAAATTTGTTGAGCCAATTTGAAGTCACCAATGTCATCAGGTGGTACCTATTCTAGAGTTTTCTTTCAACATTGGTAGATTTATAAGTGTAAGTTTATTTTTTATGGTTGAAGCTGACCTCCTTTGAACAGGTATACTGAACTTTTGGTATCCTGACTTTCTTCTTCTTCTTCGTTGACTTTTAGAAGTTGGCATTCAGACTTTGCATTACCGCCTTCTACTGGATTGATAATAAAACAACATTCTCCAAACTGCTATTATAACTAACAGAAACTAATAATATAGAAAGTATGAAAAAGAAAATAATTAAGCTTAATATTTCCCCACTTCATCTCTAATAGTAACTAATATTCTCACTCAAGGCTCTGAGGGGGTATGAAAGCCTCTCTCAACAGCCACTGCACTTCCTCTACACTCCCACAATGTTCAAAAACGTTCTCACAGCATCACCTCCAATTCTTTCAGACTTTCTTTCTGCCTCAGCAGCACAGTTTATCATCATGGCAGGTATCCTGACAGCTTTCCAAACTGTAATTCATATTTTAACCACAGCAATATCACTTATGGTGATCAATGCGGTTGGATGGGTGGTTCCCATGCAAATGAGACCAAACAGTGCCCTCAGATGCACAATTACATAGTATTTGTTGGATCTGCTAAGCTTTTTGTATTAGATAGAAGATAACATGCCATGCATATAACTTTTAAGGAGAAGTAACGTTTGAGTAACTTCCCCTTACCTATGTAAAATAACAATTTCAGCGGTGATGCTGCATTAAGTGTTTTCTTTACTAAAATGTAACTTCCTCTATCTTGTGTTGTGTGAAATGTTTCTCCTCTAGCAGCCCAATCCAGCCGTCTGTTCCGGAGTTTTCCCAAAGATCTTCTGCAATCTCTGGCTGTGGAAAACATCACTGGCAACTTCCACAAATGGAGTCTGTCTCTACAGGTATTTCCTGCTCCCCTTCTCTCCTCATCAGCTGGCTTGGTTATTATTATATTTGGTGGTAATCTTGTAATTCTTGAAGGTAGGGATGTCAGTAGGGTAAGTGCTTTCAAATTGGGGAAGCTGCGTCTTCCTAAATATTTCTAGAAACATTTTCAAATTACATATTTAGGAAACTCAAGGATAGTATAAGGAGGAGGTTCCTCAACCTGGAAAACCTACCTTAAATCCAGGCATACCTATGTATGGTTTGTATGCGACCATGCTTATAATCAATAGTCTTAGCATTAACTGTTAATACTACATGCTGTATTTAGGTGCCGTAGATTAATTTGTTTCACACTTGTCATAACCATACATGCAGTCTATGGTTATAACTCACCCTTTAACTGAAATCACTATATGTCCGTTAACTTGACTAGATAAGCATGATTCATACACTGTGTTTGTTGAATTGTCAACAGATTTTGGAATTAGGGGGGCTACATTTGTCAATGTTTTGTAACCTTCTAAAAAAACGTTGTAAACCAACAATCTGATAGGCATCATCAGCTTTCAAGTGATTTCAAAAGGCCCTAACAAGTATTTCCTAAAGTGAAGTAAAGTCGATATTCAATCCCTGCCTTGAACCAACAGAACTACAGCCGAAATGCCAAACTGAAGAGGTTCTACAAGGTGCTGTCCACTAACAACGATGGGAAGAAAGAATTCATCTCCACCATGGAAGGTACCATTTCTCCTGACTGCTGTATCATTCATGTTATCTCTATACCTTCCAAAAGCCAATGCAAAGTGGCAGAAATAGCAAACCCTTCATGACTGAACCGGTGTTGTTAATGTTAATAATTATGAGATTGAAGCATATTATTCAGATTCCGATGGGATTGGAGATTATGAAATATGGATAATGATGGTCGGAAGTTTTCCAAAATGATTGATAAGAATGTTTTTTTGGAATCTTTCTTCTTTTTCACTTTTTATTTATTGACTTTGTTCGACCATACATGTAATTTGTTTAAAATACAATTTTACCATTTTAAATTATTATTTAACTTATACATTAAATAAATAATAAAACAAGTATATTAATAGTTACATTAAAGCAGTTTGCAAGACAGTGATATATAAAGGGGGTTAGGGGAGGAATTTTTGTCTGTTGACAATGTATCTTTTTTTCCTCAGCCCACCGATACCCATTCTATGCCGTGCAGTGGCACCCAGAGAAAACTCCCTTTGAGTGGGTGGATAAGCCGGGCATGACTCACTCCCCCACTGCCATAAGAGTCTCTTTCTACACCTCCAGCTTCTTTATCTCTGAAGGTAAAGGCTGTTTTTTGTTTGTCCATTTCTTTGGTGCCATTTTGTTGAATTATAGAAGTGCGACTAAATAAAACCCAGGAATAAATAAACCTACAAAAGGAAAAGCACTCTATAACCAAGTTGTTTTTCTCTCTTTTACTCCTTGGACTCTTTCTCTCCTCCAGCCATGAAGAACCAACACCATTTCCCCAGTCTGGTGGAGGAAGAGCGAGCGCTCATCTATAACTTCTCTCCCGTCTTCAGAGGCATGAATTCCATCTTTATCCAGAACTATTACTTTGACTAATTCACAGTACCTAAGATGGAACAGACCTGGGGCTTAGTTTAGTCAGAACTCGTTATTAGGAGAAAAGCAACTTTAAAACCGAGCTCACGATGATAAGCGGATTTGAAAAAAAGGGAAACATGCAAAAACAAAGCTTAAAGGTCCCATGTCATGGCCATTTCTACTGATCATAATTCCATTGTTGAGGTATACTAGAATAGATTTATATTGTGCAATTTTCCAAAATCACATTGGTTTCTCATACAGCATCTCTGTATAGTATGTGTATTCACTCTCTGTCCCAAACGGCTTGTTGGAGCTCCTGCCCCCCCTCCCCTCCCTGTGAGCCCAGTGGCCGTCTGCGAGACAGCGAGACACAGCGAAACCCAGCCCGAAACCAGCCCGGGCACACACACACACCCGCAGCCTGGCTGGGAGTTTGTGTGTGTGCTCACACACATACTCGCAGCCTCGCCGTCTCAGGCTGAGAAATCGGCGGAGCTGCAGCTGAGAAAATATTTAGTGTGTGTGTGAGGAAGTCCGCGGACAAAGGACGGTAACGGCTCCGCAGACGTAACGTTACGTTACGTCACTATACCCAAATACGTCACTGTACCCAGGAAGAAAAAGAGAAATCTCCAACGAGGCGTTCTGGGGCAGCATAAACAGGTCTTTTCTGTGTTAGTTTTACTCGCTACAGGGTGTACTTTGAGGGTTTGTGACTCTGCAGACCGTTTACATGCAGAAAAAGCTACATAACACACAAGGGGACGGGTAATACCCAGAAAAGCATGACATGGGACCTTTAACATGACATTAGGTTTTGCTTATAGTCTACCCATTTGGCAAACTGAATTTAATAAAAATAAAAATAGTGATAAAGTCTTGAATACCAAATACTTGAAAGACATGACCAACATTTCAAATGTTGTCAATTGTCAGGGTACTCTTTTGTTGCAGAAAGTCTAATTTACCAATAATGATATCCCCATGTTTTTAAACTACTTAATTGAATACCTTTGCCTCCATAATATCCATTGGTTTGCTACAGTAAATAATAGGAGGCTCAAACTGAGTGATCAGTGACAGTTTTGCAGTATGTCACACATACCCACTCTGGGACCAATAATTCCTGAATCACTGCCATTTTTTTATTTCTTTGTTTTATTTCCCTGTTTACGTTTTATTCAGGGGTTTCTGAAGACAATGTAGTCAATTAAACTCAATCACATGCGAAACAAGTGTACCTTCGGTGACCAACAGCATCATGCTCAATCTTGAGAACATTTTTGTATGGATAATAAAAGTAGAATGTAATACCTTGGACAGATGAGATTCTCTTACAGGGCATGCCCCATTATGTGATTATTCTCTTATACCACTTTAAAACACCTGGACTGATGTTGTCAGTCTCTAAATTCAAAAAGTTTTTGACTTGAACCTAACAGAATTTCAAAGGATTACTATCGCCTACTTTGCCTTCTTTAGCTCCTAAAAGTCCAGGGAAAGAGCTATAAAATAATTCCACTTAAACATGGATATCCAATAAACACCTCCTAAATTGCAATGTTGTGTCGATCATCAGCTAGAGATACATGATCTGATTGTCTTAAACCATTTTTTATCCAGAAACAAATGTTGTCCTTTACTTTTATGCATTATTTGTATTCCACTGTATGCACATGTTACTAAATGTAAGAAATCTGTGTGTATGCCTGTCAATGATAAAGGAAAATGTGATTTCCAACTTGTGTCTTTGAAGAACTACTATCATGCTATGACTTGGATCGTGAATCGTTTTGTAAAAACTATATAGATGAGTCTTGAGAAGAGTTCATCTTTAAATGATTGTATTCTTGTGCATCTCTGTGGGCATTCAACATTTTTATTCAACAGAAAATAGTATTTTGTATATCACATTTGTCAGAGTAGTTACAATAACTCCAAAGATCATCAGTATTTGAATGCGTATAGTGTTTACATCGAAAACAATTGTTTTATTTTTACACGGGGCCATAATAATGACATTGTCTTCATTATATATACTTTTTTTAATTGCCAAATTGTGATCATAAAAGTATATCTAGTCTAATCTAAACCTGAAACATTTGAGGCAGACTTGGGGTTTTAAAATGACAGAAAAAACGTTCTTTATAGTAAATTTGTGAATTGTATTGAGCAATTTACAATTGTTCAATTTTGAAATGTAACTATACGTGTGTGGCATGGCATCATAACATTAAGGCATGTTTTACATGATTTTTTACAAGTAACAATTCAAAATATATTATACCAAATCGATAACAGATATTTATGTTTTATCAGGTAAACAAAAACAATTTATAAACTGAATATATAATTCAGTTTATAAATTGTTTTTGTTTACCTGATAAAACATAAATATCTGTTATCGATTTGGTACATATATATATTTCTTTTTTTGCTGTTTGGTTTACATTTTGCTTACCTCCATTGAATCCTAATGTTTCATTTTGCAAGACAATCCCCCTGGTAAACATGCAGCCACAACAAGTACAAATAAATATATATTTGCTTTGTTAAAAAAACATAAATGATGAGCCCTACGAACTACCTACTTGTCCAAATGATTTGGGTCCTTTCTGTATAACATGTACCAGTTCAACACAGTGGCTTTGGCTATATTGATTGTACACATTTGTTGGTTTGACCATGTGATGATCAGACAATAAAGAGAGTCAAGTACACCTCAGTGCTTCCAATATCTTTTGTTTCCTCTGAAAAGAAGAAGCATGCAGAGTTTGTGTTTACTGTACGCCCCTAACATCTGCACTTTATCTGACTGACAGAGAGATAATGGGATTTTGCGTAGTGTGAAATTATTACTTTTCATCACGCAGCCTTAACCTGCTACAAAACAGCTGTACCAGTTGAGCCCCGAGCCTGTTTTTCAGGCCTGAGGCTCGAAAATGACATTCCCAGAACAATTGACTATATCTTCACTTCTAAAAGGGGTAAATTAATTATCTTTTTTCTCCAATCAATCAATCAATGCTTATTTATATAGCCCAATATCACAAATGTTACGTTTGTCTCAGTGGACTTCACAGTTTGTACAGAATATCAGTATGACAATACGACACCCTCTGTCCTTAGACCCTCACATCATACAAGGAAAAACTTCCAGAGAAAACCCACAGTTTAAAGGGGAACATGGGAGAAACCTCAGGGAGAGCAACAGAGGAGGGACCCCTCTCCCAGGACGGACAGACGTGCAATAGATGCCATGTGCAAATCGAAGAGATAATACATTTTACAGCATAGGTAGACCAAATGTTTGGAAATGCATGTGTCTATAATAAGACACGGTACACTGTAACAAATAAGATTGGCTGCAAAGTTTTCCAGGACGGATGCGTAAGACTAAAAACAAGGCTTTCAAAGGAGGTATAATTACATTTTGGTTTAGTATTGATAAGTAAACTTGAGTCAAAGAAGTTGACAATGATGAGTTGGATGTAGAAAAGTCAGAATCAATATAGAATTTTTTTATTTTAAAGTAAATTAAGATTGAACATAGTAAAAAAATGTAAATTATAGTGTCCGTCCAAAGAAAAAACATTACATATACTGTAGGGGAAACCACGCTTGAATGATGGGATAGTAGACTAAAAGCTTTAGGAATCCAAAGTACAACATATAATAAGTACCCTGTATCAAGATTGATGCAAAACAAGTGACATTTGACCTTTTTAGAGAGATTTAGAAAAAAAAAAACACTTCTGGGGTCATTTGGGTGCATGAGTGATGCGTAGCCAGAATGCCCAAAACCGCTGTCATATGAAATCTCCGTTTTTGACATAAATATGAAGATGGATTATCAGTAATCATTTCAAAGTGACACAGACACATTGGATTAACCTATGGATTAACCTTCAGCAGCGTTTTTATCGTTGTAATGCCATTGAACACAACTTTTGATCAGAAACAGCAAAAGGTAAGACATATCTTCCGTGTTTGCTCCGTAATGCTACGTGGTGTGATGTCTGGTTTTGTTTCCCATGTCGCGAGTTCTGGTCGCTCAGTGATGATACTTATATGTCTGGAATCTGTGGAATCTCAGCTTGCTAATCGATATCTACCCTTTTGTTTCGTTTAGCTAAACATGGTTAATATTGTCTGAAAGCTGAGTCTCTTCCCGTTAAGTGAGTATGACACATTCATAGTTTATTAAATGTTAAGAAGCCCTCAGACGCTGTTTCTTGCAAGATGTTGCGTTTTGCCCCCACCCGCGGGGCCTTGGGGTTTAACTTCAAGGGCCCAATTATTTAATCATCTCTGCCCTGTGAAAGCTTCTCAAAATAAAACACAGCTCTTTGTTCTGCTTTGTGACAATGTGGTAGTTAGCTCCTTTAATTTAGGGAGTAAGATAATTGTCTCACAGTTAAATGAACAAAAAAAAGACCTTGTAACTGGATAGCAAGAACAAATACTTAAATTGTAACATCAATTTAAAAAAATAATATTTTGTAGGAGTTTCTCATAATGTTCAGAATGTTTGTTTCCTTTTCCAAAGTCAAGATGATCTGAAATGCTAATGTTGAAGCCTTTTGCTAAAATAGTTTAAAATATATTTTCCCCATCCCCATCAATCTTTGCTCAACACTCCATAATCACTAAGTAGGACAAATAAGATTTATTTCAAATTACCTAATAAAACCTGAGTTATCAATATCAGTAATAAGTATTCAGACCCTTTGCTATATGAGACTTGAAATGTATTTATTTCAATAATAAATAAATGTATTTGATTGGAAGTGATTGAAAAACCTAACCCATACATGACAACCCCGTCTAAAAAAGGTCCACCACTGGAAGACTTTAACAACAAAGAATTATATAAATAATCAGCTGCATTGATTGTTTCCTAGAACACATATCCCCATGACGTCTTAAGTGGAAGAAGTTTGGAAAGCACCAGGACTGACCCTAACCCTAAAGCTGGTTGGCCCGCACAACTCAGGAGAGCTTGATGTGGCCCTGCAAACGATCCAGGACCTGGGATGGGAGAAACTCTCAGAACTGCAGCCGTAAGAACCTGTTTTTGGTATATAATGACTAAAGAAAGGAAGCCGCGACAACTACCATCACTGCAACCCTCCAATCTGAGCATTATGGCGCAATGACTGGATGGAAGCCTCTCCTCAGTCAAAGACACATAAG